GGAGCCCTGCTTAGAGTTCCGGGGGGACAGCGAGTGTCCGCCCGGCTTCCCTCCCGCCGCCGACGAGTCGCTGGGACCGCTGGGAATGAAGCTCTCGCCATTGCTGGAGAATCCGTTGGGGGGCTTGGAATCATTGACGTGGGGGATGGGGATGGGGATGGGGATGGGCACGGGCAAGGGCACGATGACCGGGTATGGCACAAGCAGGGTGGGCGGCGGCACCAGCGGGGCGAGCGACGGCAGCCCGAAGTTCATCATCTGGGGCACGGGCATCGGGGGGCCATTTGGCATCATGCTCACCGGAGGGAAGGGGAGGCTGGGCAGGGGGGCGCCCGGGGGCGGCGGGGGCAGCAGGCCCGGGGGGTTCCCGGGCATGGTGGGCGTGCTCGGGGGGTGAATATGGGGAGACAGCAGCGGCCGGTGCATGGGGCTGGACGTGGGGCCCATGTTCCGGGGCCCGCCGGGCGGGGGCCCGAGGCCAGGGAGCATGGCGTTGGGCAGCGGGCTGTTGGGGCTGGAGGCGTGGTGCGGCGGCCCGCGGATGAAGGGCGGGCGGATCTGCTGCATGATCTGCTGTTCCATGAAGATGGGCAGCGGGACGGGCCCGCGGTTGGTCATCACCATGGGCGGGCTGCGCGGCGGGACGCCGAGGGGGGGCCCGATGCTCGCTGGGGGCTGCACAGAGACCGGAGGGAGGCTTGGGCTCTCGCCGATGGGGACGGCCTTGGGCACCGGCGTGGGGATTTTGGTGACGGAGCAGTTGGCAGTGTCGGATGGAGAGACGGTGGTGGACGTGGCTGGGCCAGGGCCCTGGCTTTGGCCAGCTGCAGCCACCGGGGAGGGGGCCTTCCTCCGAGCATCTGTTAGCGGGATATTCCAAGAGTCTGGAGTGAGCAGCTGCACCCCGGGGCCTTCTGCTTTATTTTCCAGGGGAGGGTGTAGTGTGCCGCACAGCCCGGCTGGCAGGTTGGCCTGGGTCTCTTTGTAGAAAATGTCCATTTTGTACTGATTGAGGCATTTGGCGCTGCAGAACTGAAGCCTTCGTTCCCCGTCCCCAAAGTCCAGGTATTCTTTCGTGTGTCTTATGTGCTTACACCAGTCACATACCTGCAACACAGCAATAAAACAAAAACACCACAACAGGTAAGAGGAGCAATTTCGTTGGGTGGAGGGCGTTGCACGTTTCACATAAAGGTTCTTTCAAGCTACCACCGGCTGAACCATTTCCTTCTAAAAGGTACAATTCCAAAATGTCAGTAAGACGAGGGCTCGCCTTACAAATATTGACTCCTTAAAATAGCAATGATCACAGCTTCCCTTTCTTAACGCTTCTTTCATGTTGAAAAAGAAATTGTGCGCTCTCTTTTAAGTATGACTTCAAAGGTGGGTCTGAGCCCCTCTCCCATCCCACCCCCAAATTAGAATGACTGCATACACCGGCCCACCCATTCTTATCCGTCAAAGAGGCTCACTGTACATGTAAATCTCAAGAAGCTTTGGAGGAAAGGGTTTTCCAGAAAGTTCAGTGGGCTTGACTCACAAGCCCTTTCAAATTCTCCTCAGTGGAGGAGTCACCTTATGCTACTGACTGTGTTCGAGAATGCAGTTGGAAAGATGTGCTGTGTTAGCCAGAACACCCTATCTCTCTGGCTTTCACGGACAAATATGGAAAAGTCACGAGGTCCGTGTGAGGTTAGCGAGGCCCAACCTGTGATGCTAGAATTCTTTTTTTCCTTTTTGGAGCTGTTTGCCCACTCTCTTTTAGTCGTCAGGATTTTCGGTGACATTTCTTGGCAGGCAGTCTTATTTAACAACTTTTCAAAAACCAGAGAATATTTTCCAAAAGTTGTTCTGGCCTTCCCCTCCCCCTTCAAGTCTACTCCTGGCAAAAGAAAGACCTCACCAAATGTATTTTAAAGTTGGGCGGCAGAACTAATTAAAGGCTGAGTGCTTTTCCCAACTGGAAAACACTAGACGTCAAAGTTCAGAAAATAGTCAGCCCAGGCTCAGAACCCATTACTTGGGAGAAATTATTGTGATTTCATTAACACATTAATTTTGCAACACCATCAGCTCTCACAGATGGTGAAGACATGATCTACAATTCAAATATGACTCTTGTTTGCACAAATGTCTTTCTTTCATATGGCATTTTAAACAAGAATTAATATGAGTAATCTTGCCACAGCTATAAACAGATAAACAGATGTCAAAATTTTCAATCGTTCTTTCAGTGCCTTTTTTGACAGAATTTACACAATATATTTTTTTCTTCTCCACCCCCCCCCCCATCATTTTCTCAGCACTCAAAGCATACAGCAGGAAAGAAGATAAATTCTGAAACCTAGTGCAATTGTGAGCTTATTGAAGCTGAGTGTGTCCCCACTCGAGCACGGACTCCAACAGCATCCTTCATGGAGTCCTGTTTTTGTGGAAGATGTCTGCTAGAGTGTGTGCATGTGTGTGTGTTTAACTATTGTAAACTGGTAGCATTAAGAGATGATAAATTTTAATAATGATTGGTCATATAAACAATGCAAAAACAACATATGCCGGGCATTTGATTACTCATCTCATTTAACTCTCAGCTTTCCTTGACTATAAACAGTGGTGGTTGGCTAGTATGCGATTGTGGGCTCACACACACGTGGCAGATGTGCCCCTGCAGCTAAAACTCCACTCTTCTGCTCACTTCTTTTTTTCTCATTGATGTTCAAGGTAATAAACTTGATGGCATGAGATGGGACACTTCTGGGCATATGTTTGTTTTTGGTTTGGTCTCACATCAAAATACTTCCTGCCAAAAATGCGAAGAGAGCAGGCCGGCTACAGAATGGTCTTTGGTGATGAGAGAGGCGTTTCCAGAATTTAGGGATCCAAACTGCGGGAGTCCCGGGAAGAACAGGAAGCCATTGCAATGCTGTGCTGCACTGCATGGTCCCACCTCTGTTTGACTGCGCTGTTTCAGGTGACAACGGGATTGAGGGCTTTTCTGATCACACTTACGATATGCAGCGTACAAACAAGTACAGAATCACCTCTGGTGAGAAGACACACAGCATCCATCAGCCCCTGAGCATTCTTCACTAGATAACGATGGAATGAGCTAGTTGTGCAAACAGGACGCACTTAAGCTATTTTTAAAACCAGGTCATTTTGTGTGCGATGATGATGTGTGTGATTTGTGTGATCATTTTAGTTGATGATGATGGGGCATTTGAATTCCACTTAAATATAAAACCACATGCATCTGTTTCCATATTAGGCACCTATAGAAAGCTTGGAATGTAAATTTTATATTTGCAGTAAGAGATCAAATATAGTTCCTTTAATCATGAGCCCAGGAGTAAAAGAGCAGCCGAGCTCTTTACCCAAAATGTGCGTGGTTCAAACCCACCAGCCACTCCGCTGGAGAAAGATGCAGCAGTCTGCTCCCAGAAAGATGTCTAGCCTTGGAAACCCTATTGGTCAGTTCCATGCTGTCCTGTAAGTTCTCTCTGAGTTGTGAGTCTCTCAACAACAGTGGGTTGGGTTTGGGGTTTGCATCATGAATCAGAGAACACTTCTCAGTGAGGTCCATGGGAGGAAGATGAAGCTTTCTACTCTGGTAATGATTCCCAGACTTGGAAACCCACAGGGGCAGTTCTAATCCGTCTTCTAGGGTCACTGTGAGTCAGAATCGACTCCATGTTAAAATCCGTGAATTAAAATAATTAAAAGAACACACCAAATTTCCTGGCCTATTTCTTTTGGATTTTTTTCTTTTTACCCATAAGGGGGAAGAGTTTTCTGAACTCCTTAATTGGTTTTTTTAAATGCTAGATTGGATTATCTGCCTCAAGAGGATTCCTCTGTTTCTTCAGCTAGATAAATATTTTCAAGCAGAGTAAAAAACACACACCAAAGATTACTTAAAAGTTCTCCCAGCATGTCCTTACTTTCAATAACTCATTGGTGAATAAGGAAGGCGATTAGATCTCTCTCTCAATGATCAAACAAAACTCTCCACTACCTTTTATCTCTTTTTACACAAGAATTACAGGCATCAAAGTTTGAGGCCAAATTCTGTTTCAGCACACTGTCCAGTTAGAGCTTAATCTAATGGTTAGTTAACTGATTTTCAACAGCGTCCCAAAGTGTTTCGTTACTTGTGTGACCGCGTGTGACTATCTTGTGTTGTGTGCTTTGAGTGTAAATGTGTGTCTCCTTGCCTTATTAGATCTCACTGGAGAACGCTGATCTGAAAATACAGGAAAGACATCTTTCTGATGAAGCGAAAAAAAAATCATTAGAGAAAAAAAATGCCACTTAAGAAATAATGCATCAAATCCGTCTTACAGGACACATTATTTAAGATGAGGTCAATGAATTTATGGCACAAATGGCTATATCATGTGAAGCAATAAAACCCAGTGCCATCACTCATTCTACATCTTTACTGATGACATACTCATGGTAATTAAATGTTTCACTTAAAGAGACCGGGCTGATTACTTAAGGTGTGATAGTTGGGTACAAAGATATACTGTATGTCTCTCACTTTAATAAAATAACATGCACACCCATGAAATATATAATGAGTGTCTCATAAACTGTGGGTTTCTGAATTGTGGTCGTATGGGCATATTTGTCCCTTTATTCCCCTGTAGAATCTTTTAACATATTCAATTACATATGTGCGTGTCATTGAAAATGGCTAGATAACTGAATAGATGAAACTGGAAACAGTATACAATTAACAGATAAATATGAACAAGCGCAGGGCTCAACTCACGGGGTTCTGGCATGGTTCCCCCTCAGTCTACCCCAGCTTTGTTTCTGTTGGAATCTAGCCTCTCTGGTTCCACTTCCGTGCACAATAGGTCCAGATTCGACAGAGCCGAGGCCATTAGGGGACTGAACCATTGGCTAATGCAACGCCGGGAAACGAGACAGCTGAGAGGCTCTATATCACAAATACGTCATGAATCACCAGAGAGACAAAAAGATCACAAAGAAGATAAACAAATGCGGATTCCGTTCACCCTATGATGGCAGTCCTCAAAAAAGATTAAATTCATCTTCCTGGGAGGTGTCCAATTCTACACAACAAAATGAACATTTCCTTCTGTCCGTTTAGCATCGTTCTATTTTGGTGGCTCCCTGCCAGGGTCGTACTTATCAGCTCAGTGGCCTGGTGCATACACTCCTTTCCTGTGAAATAAATGTGTGGCAAGCTGAACCGCTCAAAAGGCCCTGCCTCGGCAGAAATACCGCTTGCTCTCGATATTAGGAAACCAAACGGCAGGGCTTCTGGTTCCTGTAACTGTTTCCATCTTGTATTTCCCCTGGAAAGCAAGCAAGCTACTCATGCTGGCAACTGAACCTTTATTTTTATATAAACGTCCAAAGTCAAAGCCAAAGTATGCCATGAGGTTACCCACAGGGGCACAATATATACATTCTGCTGGGTTTAAAAGACAATTCCTGGTAACTGGCGGTGGGGGCTTGGGGGTTGCTTCTAATTAACACATTAATCAGCTGTCAGCTTCGAGAGTGAAGTTCACCTTTTAATGGAACTCACTGCTGCCTTCTGAGTGGTAATCCAGCATCAGGCAATATTTAATTAAGAACCCCTTGTGCTGAAATCTTTCTTATCTGGGCAAAGACATTTGCAGCAATGGAATAATGACAAGATATTAGCAACCCCTTGCATGACATGAATAGTTTGAAAAGCAGGACAAAAATAATTCTCCCAACTTTTCAAAACTGTCAGACCAATGGCTGTCAAGTTGTCCCAACTCACGGTGACCTCATGTGTGTCGGAGGTGAACTGTGTGCCGTGTGGTTTCCAATGGCTGATATTCTGGGAATAGATCCCAGGCCTCTCTTCAAAGGTGCCCCAGGTTGGACTCGAACATGCAACCTTTTGATTAGCAGTCGAGGTGTTAAACGTTTGATCTTACCACCCAGGGACTCCTCTATGATTATAGCACCCAGGTAACAGCTCAGACGTTGGGGCTCCACATGCAGAAATAGCGCTTGCCATAGAGACAGGTCCTCTAGGCTGTCGCATGTTGATCTTGTCGGTCAGGCCAGCTCACAGAAAATCATGAGCTTACCCAAGA